TTGAAGCTTTTCTTGAATTCGGTTTAGTCCATCTTCTGTTATTGAGCAATTCGTAGTTCCTGAATAGGAACCTTTCATTTCTGCCCAGGTGCTAAACTTGCGTTTGTTTGATGCGACCAGCTTGTGGTGATTATCATGCAGATTAGTCAGAGCGAATTGCAGCCTTGAAAGGCATTCAGGTAGTAGTAGCCACACACCTTGTCGATTATACTATGGCATCAACAGAATACTATGCTGTCCATAATGTTCGCTGATTTTCCGCTGTTGCCCCTAAGGACATCGAGTGAACATAGTGCTAAATTGATTCAGGAAATTTGTTTGTTTTGTTCGAACCAGGCACTATCTGAAATAAATTGACTTATTGCCAGGGTACTATTGCCCTCTACTACCGTGAATTTACTGCTGAATGATTCATTATAATCACGTGTAATTTCCATTTTGATGTATTTTTTGTTAATTATCAATATGGAAAAACAGCTGATCGGAATGTATCTGCTTTTTCCTGTTGTCACGGAGCACTGGATTCGCGCATCAGTTAAGAAATGCATGATTATATTACGTTAATTTTAGAAAAGGTTAAATGACTGGTTATAGTGCAATAACTTAAAGTAATTCGACGAGATGTGCCAGGGATTTAATTTTGTTTATTCGTATAAGTTACCTTTTGTGGGCAGTGTCAAACTGCATAGAAGATTATGCAAAAATTATTAACAAGAAAACACAACGGATTAGCATATAGAAAACGTTTGACAGACGAAGATAGGAAAAGATAAATACAACTAGAGATCAGCCGCACACATTCTCCTCGACTTTTTACTGAAGAGGATAATCCTGAATTGCTATGTCGTCTTTACCTTGCCGCTTCAGTCATACACGCTAGGTCGCGCGTCTGGTTATCGTTCGCCTTCTCGCAGAGTATTAATTAAGTTGCGGTTCTGTCAGACTTGCATTTCGCCTATTCTGGTGTATGGAGCTGAGATGTGATCGCTGCGTAATCACAAACACTTTTTGGGTCTTCCACATGCTAAATCGGAGGTGGTTTCTCAAGACCAGGTGTTATTACTTCATCCGCGACGTAATTGTTGCCGCTGAACTAAATTACCCTTCATTTACGCACAGTCGAACGGCATAGAACTGACATATCAGCCACGTGACAAGACTGACTGTGAAGGTTCCCGTTTACATTGATCTCATTGTAATGGTAAACACTGGCACCGGACTCTTGTCAACATGTCAGATAAATGAAAGAGCATGCTCAGACTGGCCCGCCGATTTGTGTACAGTTCAACGCCACAATCACCACCGGCCATGGTTTGTTGGTGGAACGATCATGCGCTTTTGTTGTCATTGAGATATGTGGAGAAGAAAGGTAGAATGGACTTTGTGTGAGCTTCTGTTTAACAAAAATTATCTAAGTATAAATTGTCATTTTCCTTGACACCAATCAGACAATTAATTTTGCCCGCTGCTGTCTGCAATCTTAGCGCATAATAAATCGTGTTCTGATAGACTGGTAATTCTGTTGAACGTTGAACTTAACATATTATCTGTTACATCTAAGAAATTTTTGACGTTTTATTACATCGGTCATTTGTTAAAACTTTCTTTTACTTGTTATATTGGCCTTTTATTTCGATACAGTTGCACATTTGTTCTAGTATAGATTTTTTGTGAAAAACTAAAAAATTCTGTTTTCCGTGTCGAAAGAGCCTTATCGCTTTAGCTTCGTTGTTTTCTTAAGGGCGAATTCCGTTCATCTGCCGGAACGGGGCAGGTACGCGACCGGTTTGATTTTCTTTGACAAAAAAACGTACAAGCAGGGCATCGAAGCGGTGAATGACATCGTCGAAAGCTGCAGCTTCAAGGTTCTGTTCTGGCGTAGTCCACCGGTCGACTCGTCGGTGCTGGGCAGCGAGTCTCGCAAGAATGAGCCGTGTATTCGCCAGGTAACCGATTCGCGACTTTCAGTCGCCTGTCGATTGCTTTTGTTTTTATTCTGTTTTATTTATAGATTTTTGTCGTCGGTTCGTGCCCTAGCGATGACGAAATGCAACGCAAGGTAGGGGTATACAACAAATGCATCAGATTCCGCTTCTAATTACGCATTTAAATTATTTTATTAATGTTTTACCATTGATTTATTTAATTCATGGTTCTGTTGCTTAAAAAGTGTGATAGGACTGATTCGAATCAACAGCAAAACGAACAATAATTATTAAGGCGCATGAACATGGAAATGATAACTGCAGTTCATATGAGGTTTTTTATATCTGTCCGCGAAATGTAGATAATCGAACTATTAATATCTGATAAAGAAACTCTTGCGAACCGGCTAAGACCGAAAGGGTCACGTTTGAACGTTCAGTAGTTTTTTCATAAAAACTGTGAACTGAAACAGCAACCAAACTTTTCCAAATGTGTATGATGTATAATTTTTTGGAGGAACTAGTCACATCTTTTGGGATGTCACGCGTTTATGAACGGTGTAAAATGATTTTTCCTACATGGTATCGGCATGGCTAACTTTCTGGACCAAGATAGGTAGTTTTCAAAGTCGTAGTATGTGCTGTAGGTCAAATTTTCATGATATGATGTTTTTAATCTTTGTGCCGGTGTCAGAGTTTCAAGTTTGGTAAGTTCAGACTGGTTTCAAGCAAATTCTTAAAGAACAGTACCAGCAGGCATAGGATAGAATAGATTAACCTCTTTAGATCTTTTCTCTTTTAATGTGACACCTTTCTGTTGCTGGTACATTGAGGGCTTCTTTATTCTTCTTCAGTTAAAACACCTTCTCTTAGTTTTCTAAACGGCGTTGACGATTAGATGACGACAGAGTTCGCCCTCCAAGAATAACGAAGTAACGCCGCTTGTTTTTTGACATCACGATAGACAAATGCACTATCAGTAATTACTCCCTTTCCGTTTTCCACAAGGAACAGAACTGTGGTCGCTTCATACATCCAAGTTGTACAATTCCTCGATCATACATAATTAATTAATACTGCCATCGACTTGGATAGATGGTATTTTATTACAACCGACCATCTTGATTTAAAGCTAAAATCCAAGATCTGACATGTATACTTAAAAATATTGATAACGACCGCTGTTTTCTCTAACATGGTCTCTTTCATCCTAGTTACAATCTTCACCTCTTATCCTAACATAAAGGAAACACTATCTTTACATTTTAATATGCATTTAACGTCATTCCTCTGTCATTTTTTAAGTAAGATTGGATTCATTTCCCATGTAGGAAATACATCACCCTATGCAGCATCTTGTGTGGCGGTCACTTTACAAAATCTATTTCATCATAAGCTGTGTACGAAATAGGTCACTAATGCTGTCGAAAGATTTACGTTGGTATGAGAAAACGCGCCTTAAAAGCCCACTCAAGCAACATATGGCACGACGAACTATTCTGAAGCATGCTATTGGAAGCATTCTTATTCACCTTATTGATTACTGTACATGAAGATCGTACACCGTGACAATGCCACTGCCAATTTCATGATGATTAAAACATTTAAGGAAACCGGTGTAAACGCTGAATTAAGTTTCAAAGGCCCTTTGTCTAGTTTTAATCTTTTCCTGAATAATTGAGTTTCTACAGTGTAATTTTTTTCCTTTTTTCGTATATCTCCATTTTCTTTAATCTTTTTCTTCCTTAATTTCTAGTGGCATTTTCTTTCGAACATTTTTCTCCATTTTGTTTTAACATTTTTCCCCTTTATCAAATATGCTTTCTCAAGGTTTCGTTCTCTTTCTTAATCGAGAAACACCGATAATTATGTTTGACGTTGTTCACAAGTCAAAATCAGATGAAGAATTCGTCACAGGTAATCACTAATAAAAAAATGCAGAAGACACGGTTGAGTGACAGTCTAAGATAGATTGATAGACGTTAGAAGTTCGATGTTTCTGAGACAGGTGGTATGTGAACTGAATCCGCTTCCTGAACGACTCGTCCACAAAGAAGTATTACCGAATTTCCAGGTGATTCGGTTTGTATAAATACTGTTTGTATTTGGATTTGAAGCCACGTTTCATGACATTCACTGAGGTAATTTTGCATGTCCTAGGCTACAACTTGTATAAAATATTATTCAGCGGATTAAGTGAGTCAGTCTTATTAATAGCTATTTTTTCTGTGTACAGA